AGTCTTACCTTCCTAGCCATATGCTAAACTAAAGAGGACTGTTTTAAACCTAGCCTTGAATAAAGAATAACATACAGCATAATATATAACATAATATACAACATAACACAATACATTATTGAATAATATATAACATAATATATAACATAATACAGCATATATATATATAATATATACACTACATATTATATATTACCTAATTATATGCTAAATTAAAGTAAAGTGCTTTAAGCCTGGCCTTGAATGTGGAGACCGTATCTGCTTCCTTAACATAAATGGGAAGCTGATTCCACAGTAAAGGAGCTTGGTAGCTAAATGCTCTGCCACCAACAGTGACCTTTGAGACCTTAGGGACCACCAGACGTCTGGCGTTTTGTGAGCGCAACGCTCGACCTGGTTGATACGACACTAACGTGTCTTGGAGATAAGAGGGAGCCAAGCCATTTATCAAACCGCCCCAGTGCATGCTGCAGGTCCTGGTTTGTTGGAGCCAACAGGACAACATCGTCCGCAAACAGCAGAGATGAAATCCTGTGATCCCCGAACTGTCCATGAGTGAACAGAATCGGTGACAAAGGGCAGCCTTGGCGGAGGCCAACATGCACCGGGAACAGGTCTGACTTACTGCCGGGCAATGCGAACACAGCTCTGGCTCCGGTCATACAGGGATCGGATGGCCCTCAGCAGAGGACCCCCGACCCCGTACTCCCGGAGAACCCCCCAAAGAACACCCCAGAATTTATGAATGTATGTTATTTTTTGTAAATAAATGTTACCAAGGTCATCAACATCATTGCCCAAAAACACATGTTCTCTAAGTTCAAACACTAGAGTTTAGATCTGTTTGTAAAATGAACGGGTTTTTTTTTACCCATTCATGACTTTTATTGAATGTGAGTACATCATCATTTCTTCGAACAGAAAGAGTTCATATCGTTTGGATTGAAAATGAACTGCACCAAATGCCTGAGGCTCAGTTTAATAAAGTTTACTGTTTTTTTTTTCTTGATAAATTGATCTCTGAAATTATCTATAACATAATATATTATCCCAGACACTCAGTGGGGGCCGCACTCACAATACTCTCTGATGTCCAGTAGAGGGCGACAAAAGGCCACAGTGCTAGAATAAATTACAGCGATATTACTAATATAGCCTGGTCTTATTCTGAATACGTAGAATACTTTTATATATGCTTTTAATTATTATTTTTTATTAGTTATACTTATTTACAAAACACATCAAAAAGGTACATTTCAAAATATTTAAAACCACAACCTCAACAAATGATTGAATAAATAAAACCTGTTCTGTATTATACTTTTTTCCCCCCCTTTTTAATAAGTCAAAGTCTTCAACAGCTGAATTTAACAACCAGAAAAAAATGTATTAACAGTTTAAGAATGCCCAATGTTTCATTTTCTTTCCTTTTTTTTTACCTTAAAACATCATTTAAGAAAGTATGTATTACTGTGATTTCAGAAAGTACCTGTTTTCTAAATAATTGAATTTGGTAGAAGTAACTGTAATGGAATAAGTTACTCAGAAGAAAATTCTGAATTACATTTTCACACAACTCTGGAGTTGGGGAGACAGACAGAACCCAGTTTCTGAGAACCAGGGTCTTTGTCCTCGCACCGTTCCTCTTCATCCTCTACACTGCGGACTTCAGACACAACGCGGACAGTTGTGTTCTACTGAAGTTCTCCGACGACTCTGCCATCATCGGACTCAGCTCCGAGGACGATGACACAGAGTACAGAGGAGTTATACAGGACTTTGTGGACTGGTGTCAGCAGAACCACCTCCTCATCAATGCTGGGAAGACCAAGGAGATGGTGGTGGATTTCCGCAGAAGTCACTCTACTGCTCTTACAAGTACCTGGAACTGGACTGGACTCATAACACAAACAATTGTGTTATTAACTTGTATCAGAATGTGCAATAACCACATGTCACTGTCACTTTACTGAGTCACTGTGTCCCAGAGCCTCATGCCACTAATGTACAGATGTAAACATACTGCTGCTAATGTACAGATGTAAACATACTGCTGCTAATGTACAGATGTAAACATACTGCTGCTAATATACAGATGTAAACATACTGCTGCTAATGTACAGATGTAAACATACTGCTGCTAATGTACAGATGTAAACATACTGCTGCTAATATACAGATGTAAACATACTGCTGCTAATGTACAGATGTAAACATACTGCTGCTAATGTACAGATGTAAACATACTGCTGCTAATGTACAGATGTAAACATACTGCTGCTAATATACAGATGTAAACATACTGCTGCTAATATACAGATGTAAACATACTGCTGCTAATGTACAGATGCTATATAACTAGACTTTGCTTGCACTAGAATATACAACTTTTATACCTTTTTTTTTATTATTTTCAATATTGAGATATTATACTTGTTATTTGATGCTGGAGTTAGAGATTTTGTTTTATTTTTATTAGTATAGTTATTATTCACTTAACTTGTGCTGTGTGCTTCTCTTTCCAACTGTTCTATAACTTGTGATGCAACACTGAAATTTCCCCACTGTGGGACGAATAAAGGATTTCTTAATCTTAATCTCTGGTTATTTGTTAAACTTCCGCCTTTAATGTCAATTTTTGTTTGTGGAATTCTTGCTTTTGTTGTTGACAATCGGCTGGATCAGTGGAGACATGGAGCAGGCCCTGTGCCGCTAAAACCGGCAAGTATTCCTTGAAATCCTAAACAAAAATTCACAGTGTCGTCCAGCCAACTCTCGTTCAAGCATTAGACCTGCTCCTGTCTCCCCCTGCCCTCCCCTCATCCCCGCCTGGGAGCCGCCTCAGTCCTCGTTCTACAGCCTGCTCCTCAGAGTCCAAGCAGGAGCCCAGTCTCTGTGCTCCTCAGAGTCCCAGTTACTATACACAATACAATAAATTACAGTTTATTCTTGTATAGCCTTAAATCGCAACAGCAGTCATCTCAGAGGGCTTAACAAAACCATTGAAATCACCAACACAGATCAGACAATCAACATTTAAGACAAAAAAAAGAATATAGAACACATGTTGATAAATGTCCATACATGTTGCAGAATGTTAAAGTGTCCTGGATCATCACAACAGTCCTTCTTGTTAGACATTAACTGCCCAACAGACCCTCCTGCATCGGTAAGGAAAAACTCACAAAAACCCAGTGGGAAAAAAATGAGAAACCTCGGGGAGACCCACATATTAAGAGAGGGATCCGCTCCCACTGACGGACGGGCTATAGATCCAGGACCTAAGCTACACAACATGGAAGCCACACAGCAGGACTGAAGCAGCTCCCAGGAGGGTCGGGCAGGGCGGTCCGCAGGTGTAGATGGAGGGGGCGCAGTGCTCGGTTTGGTTGATAAGACATTAACATGTCTTGAAGATAAGAAGGAGCCAGGCCATTTATGGCTTTGTAAGGATTTTAAACTTTATTCTGTACTCCACAGGAAGCCAGTGGAGTGATTTTAACACCAGAGTTATGTGCTCCCTCCTTTTGGTACCTGTTAAGATCCTAGCTGCTGTATCCTGAATGAGCTGGAAGCTCTTCAAAGAGGTTTTAGGGCACGCGTTACAGTAGTCAAACCTTGAGGTGACAAAAGCGTGGATCAGTTTTTCCGCGTCACTTTTAGGAAGGAAATTCCTGATTTTAGTTGGTTCATTTGGCACTGACATGTCACAGATGTGCTCCAGAGACTTGGACCAAACTGCTGAATGTTATTTTGTGAATTTGAATAAGAATATTTCCTCTAAACTGACATGCTGACAGATGTTGACAGACGGTTGACGGTGTTGCAGACAGATGCCATATCCTGGATAAATTCTCCAAATCTGGCCGTGATCACAGCACAGCACACGAAGGTCCCTGTAGTTCAGTCGGCTAAACATGAGATCAGTGGTGGAAAACTACCAGGAGGAAATGCTGTAATGGCTGTGGCTTTGCTTGACTGCGGCCTCAGAGGAAACATGGCCCCTGCCGTCGCTGTGTCGTTGGGAGACACTCACTTCTGATACACACATGCTACACACACGAGACAAGGGACTAGTAAAGAGCATACCACAGTTTTACGGGGTCTGGGGTCTAGGAGAGGGGTCAGACTGTGAGTTCTGAAGGTTCTTTTTTTAATCCAGACTCAAAATCAATCTGTTATGCCTGACTTTAAAGATACAATTCTCAAGAAAACAACCATATGAGGATTTTTATTCAACAAATTAGAACCCAACACATGCTGACGAAATGTTACTTTAAGAATTTGATCATTGCCATAATTTTTCACTTTGACCCGTTTTGGTTCAGTCCAAACACAGAGTAACTAAAAAGTACACATGTGCAGATGGCGCCACAAAAGTTACTAATTGCATGGATGAAGCTACACACAACCGCAGGTCTTCTACTGATGATCTGTGTTGTAACAAGGAGAAAGAGACACAAAGACGATGTTGCATGTTTGCAATGAGCCATGAGAGCCCGCCTCCTGGAATGGGATAGGAAGGAAAGGTTAGGGAGCTCAGGTTTAACTTTGTTGGAGATGAGCTTTAAGTAGAGTCACAGAGATGCTATGGAGACTTCCTGAGGCTCCCATAATCCAGGTCTGTGTCTGAGGCTCCCATAATCCAGGTCTGTGTCTGAGGCTCCCATAATCCAGGTCCGTGTCTGAGGCTCCCATAATCCAGGTCTGTGTCTGAGGCTCCCATAATCCAGGTCTGTGTCTGAGGCTCCCATAATCCAGGTCTGTGTCTGAGGCTCCCATAATCCAGGTCTGTGTCTGAGGCTCCCATAATCCAGGTCTGTGTCTGAGGCTCCCATAATCCAGGTCTGTGTCTGAGGCTCCCATCATCCAGGTCTGTTCCTGAGGCTCCCATCATCCAGGTCTTTTCCTGAGGCTCCCATAATCCAGGTCTGCTCCCATATCCCAGATTCACTGTGTATTTGTCACAGGCCGCACACAGACGCACACTTGTCCAGGGAATGGACAGCTGCACTGTTGTCAAAGCAGCCGCTCTGTGCTTCTCCAGACGCACCTATGGCCAGTCCGCTGCCTTCATCCCTCTCTCCAGAATGAGACAGTGGTCACATTTGCATTTTAGACTCAATCCCAGCTCAGTTCTTCAAAGACATTCTCCCATAATGATCCTAATAATAGCGCTTATCAAGTTACAGAAGGAATGAGGAGCACACAAGACACTTAATAATCACTATCTTGTGCTATGTGCTGCTAATTCCCACTGTTCTGTAACTTGTGATTCAACACTGATATGTCCCCACTGTGGAATGAATAAAGGATCCATCCATCCATCCATCCATCCATTTTCTACCCTTTAATCCATTTCTGGGTCAGGGGGGTGGCAGTCAGAGATGCCACCCAAGTCTCATAGCACCAGCCCCTCACTGACCCTCTGCAAGTGGTGAGTCCACAGGAGGATGGCTGCTCTCTGAGTGTGAGCATAGCCTTGATCTTTCAGTGGGAGCTTTTTGGGCAAAGAACCTCAAAAAAAAAAAAACCCAAAAAAAAAAAAAAAAAAGAATAAAGGATCTCTTCATTTTAATCTTAATGTCATTTTAAATATAATAAATACATCTAAAGGAAGTGGCTCTGTCCCACAAGCTTTTAATGCTCGGTCAGTCTGCTATCCCAGTTTTTTTCCAGTCCAAACTCTTTGTTACCACCATTGAAGTATCAAAGGTGTTTTGGTCGAATACATATTTCACCAGATAAAAATATATGGTGAAATAATTAGATACAAAATATGAGCTAAATAAAAGAACGCCCCCCCTCTCCTCTCCTCTCCTCTATGGGACAATCTGCGCTATTACGCACGGGCCATAACTTATCCTTACGTCCAAGCCGTACCCGCTCCTGTTCTATTAATACAGCCTTTATCCTCCCCCCGCCCTCCACGCGCACGCCAAGGTTATAGTATGCGTGCGTCTCTTCCTTGAGCGATTAGTGACTGAGAGAGTTCAGAGGCTGTGTGTGCGTGCGTGTGAATGAGCGGGTATGTGTGAGTGTCTTCGTGAGTACGAGTGTGTGTGTAAGTGTGCTTGAGTACGTGCGCGTGTTAATGCCCGTTTATGAACGTGTGTATAAACGCGTGTGTGTATGTGAGCGTGCGTGTGAATGAGAGGGTGTGTGTGTGTGCAGGTATGAGCGCGTAGGTCCGAGCGCGTGAGTGTGTGCGTGTATGAACGCATGTGTAAGTATGACAACGTGTGCGCGTGCATGTGCGTGTACGCGGCAGCCATCTTGTGAGTGTATAAAAGACATTTTCATTGATAGAAAGAAATATAAACCGGCTTTTTGTAAAAATGTATTTGCAAAACATGAATTATACGGTTTTGTTTTAAAGGAATAGTTCACCGTTTTTACATACTGACATATGTTCTTACCTTACCTTAGACTAGTTGATATGTACCTGTCTGGTCTTAGTCCGTGCGCTCTGTCATGCAAACGGAGCAAAAACGGGAGCACAAACGCAGCCTCCTCTGTATACTGTATAGTACCCAAAAGGTAGCTTCTAGCGGGAGCTACCAAACTCTTCCAAGTGTTCCCTATTAAATGTATATAGTTACGTGACGTGTTACACTGCAAAGTATAGTAACACAGAAATGTAACTGTCGATTTTCTCAGCGGATAACTGAGCCCACTCATAAGAGACGTCTAGCATGTCTTTTTCTTTGATGGGGCCTAAATAATATCATGTGTGAAGACTTCAGCACAGAGTGAGTAGTGGGAGAGAGGTGTATGGTCAGAGAGTATGTCTGCCTGTGTATTGTCGTGTGTGTGTGGTGGGAGACTGGTTAAGGACTGTGTGTGTGCGTTGTATGGGGAGAGGTGTAGGGTCGGAGACTGGAAGAGCCTGTGTGTGTGTGTGTGTGTGTGTGTGCATGTGTGTGTGTGTGTGTGTGTGTGTGTGTGTGTGTTTAGTTGTGTGGAATGAGTGAGAGGAGTTGGAGCCAAAAACAATTGCTTTTTTGTGGTCTCTTGTTCATAGTTTCATTTAGCATAAGTTTGAAATAACATTCTCACTAATGTTACTACTAATAGGGCACTGTCCGGTTTCCGAAATGTGCTAAAAATAGCTCAGATGACTGCGCATGCGCGCATGTTTCGGACAAACATTGTGTACGACTCGTTGAGTTCTACTGTGTTCTCCTCATACGCGTGTGTATTTATTTGGGCTAAATCATTGAATCATGGTGACAACAAAACACTGCAGTTATGGTGCTTGTCGGAGCGATTTCAGATACTCTGAAAAGGACTATATGAAAGTAACATTCAACCCGTTCGTTAAACCACAACATCGGACCAGACCAGGACCAGATCAGACCAGGTGGGTGCTTGTGGTCAGCAGAATTTCTCTCATGAAAAGGTTAAAAAGGGCACATGTTTTTTCAAAACACTTCGCTGGACCAACTGTGGAGCATCCAGATCCAGTCCTAGCTACGTTTAGCTGGGACTGGATCTGGACCGCTGTATCAGGTCCGTCTGAGCTCTTCTGAATGTAGTTAGCACAAACTTTCTCTTTACACCATTTACCCCCATCAATCCATATTAGTATTGTTTGTCCTAATCCAGAAAGTATACAATTCTCACACCTGAAGAAAGATGAGAGGGATTTTTTTCAACTTTGTGTCTGCTTATTATACGGCTTTGTACCAATTGAACACACAAAATAAACGTCATTCACTACTCATGCCGAAAGGTTTATTTAATGAGTGCAAAGAAAATAGTTCCCAAAGGTTTTCCCGTGGCAGGCGAGTTACAGTGAGGATAGTTAACCTAAAAGCGATCGCTTTAGTCGCATTAAAAAAGTATTTTTGTCATGAAAACCTGAACAGTTAATTCTGAAAACCTCCGTGCACTTGTGTTATGAATGTGTATAATGTATTCTCCCATTAACATTTAAATGTGTTGATTGATTGTCATTTGCGTTTACTGAGTGTGGCTAGCTCTGATAGTTTCTCTCAGAGACAGTGGCGTAACCCGTTGTGATCATGGATTTATTATAATATCAGCTGACTGTAGCTAACTAATGATCAAACTAATTACAAAGTGGATAGTGCAAAAACAACTTGATAAATGGAAGTTAATCACAGCAAAACAAACAAAGAAGGCGCTAGCATTGCAATTTAAATGACTAGATAATGTTAGCATAATCCTCACCATTACCTTTTTATCAAATCAAACTTTCTACCAGTTACTGGAAGACCACGACATTCAAGCCAACGTTATAATTGGTCTACACTATGATCCCTGATGGTTTGATGGTGGAATTTTGCCCCTGGTTTATCATTTTCGTCTAAAGTGACAAGTGGTATTTGATTCATTTCGGCAGTGTTTGTCCGAAACATGTGGGCGGGAGTTGACAGGCGGCGGGGGCGTGTCTTAGTGACGTCATTTAGATAGTTCGCTATAATGATAACACCATGGATTTCTTGGCAAATTTCTAGTTTGTGACTTCTTATTTATTCTGATTCCAATATTTTGTTATTCCAAGAGGGCCGCCCCTGATACCACCCTGCATGTGTCTGCTCCTTCTAGTCCCATCCACACCGCGGTGCTGCCTCTAGCGCTGAGTGAGTCCTCCCAGTCTCCTCTCCTCTCCTCTCCTCTCCTCACACCGCTCCTGCCGCTCCACGCCGCGCGGCAGACCTTACCTTTCTTTCATTGTGCATACGTCACTGCGCGTCTACCGCCTCTGCGACACGGCACAGACGGAGCGGAGGAGAGGAAGGAGGGTTTTTCTGTGCGGTGCGCCTTCTGTTCTCCAGCAGAGCACCCGGCGCACGGAGTCCGAACAGGTTCTCTCTGACTGCGCGGCCGCCGATCCTCCATCATGGCTCTCAACATCCTCGGAGTGACCGTCATGATGTTCTTCTACCTGCTGGTACTCGCCATCGGCATCTGGGCCTCCGTCAAGTCCAAGCGGGAGGCGAAGAAGGGCCAGGGGGACAAGACCGAGATGGCCCTGCTCGGGAACCGGGGCATCAACCTGGTGGTGGGCATCTTCACCATGACAGGCAAGTCTACACACGTCTGAGCACATGTCTACAAACACGTCTGAGCACATGTCTACATACACGTCTGAGCACATGTCTACAAACACGTCTGAGCACATGTCTACGTACACATCTGAGCACGAGGAGAGCGCACGTGTAGCCGGCGAGCATCCCACAGCGAAAGTTACAATCTGCAGTGTAGTTATTCTTTAATAGTTCCGTGTATTCATGGTTACTTTTGTCGTCTGAGCCGCGGCGTGATTTAGTTAATTTGATCAAAGTCTTCCCAGGGCAGAAGATGATCCTTTAAGACAGGAGCCAATGAACAGACAGAATGTGTTGTGCCATTTCCTTGTTGTGTTGCATGTTTGAAGGTTTTTTTCTGTCATGGCAAAAGTCAAACGCTAATTCTATCTATCTATAGAATATTCTATCTATTCTAATTTATATTGTTCCAACAACCCTCAGACTCCCAGTATAAAAAATAAATAAATAAATCCCATAGCAGTCTTGTTTTACGATTCCCCTTCAAGTTAATACAATTCTGAAATAATCCTCCCTAGAAAGTTTTAGTTTGCTTCTAGTTTTATGATAATTTATTATTTATTATTCATTTATAAGGCGTTTACCATAGATAAGTGCTGAAACTGGTAAACATAATTTGAGGTTCAGAAAAAAACAGTTTGTTGGGAGCCCAATGGTGCATTGCTGGTGGTAACAAGCTCTATTCTGGTGGAAATACAAGCTCAGAACCAAGACCAGTCCAGAACCAGTTCAGGATCAGCGCAGGACCAGTTCAGGACCTGTGCAGGACCAGTTTAGGACCAGTTCAGGAATCAGGACCAATTCAGGACCAGTTCAGGACCTGTGCAGGACCAGTTTAGGACCAGTTCAGGACCAGTTTAGGACCTGTGTAGGACCTATTCAGGATCAGTCAGGACCAGCACCTTGAGAGAAGTGACTTTCACTACCAACAATCAAATGAACTGACGTTAAAAGCAGAACCGGGCGGCACGGTGGCTGAGTGGATAGCACTCTCGCCTCTCAGCAAGAAGGTCCTGGGTTTGAATCCCGGTCAGACCAGGGCCTTTCTGAGTGGAGTTTGCATGTTCTCCCCGTGTCTGCGTAGGTTTCCTCCGGGTACTCCGGTTTCCCCTACCACTAAAAATATGTACAATAGGTCTGGCATGTGCCTCCTGTACTGGCGACCCCGCTCCCATCTCTGTGTGGAGTGAGAGACAAATGCCCAAAATTAACAATTGTAAAGCGCTTTGAGACTCAGATCTGCAGTGAAAAGGCGGTATATAAATAAAAACTTACTTACTAGAACTCACAATACAAGAATAAATTATAATTTAATGAAAAATAATGACTTAGAAATAAACAAAGTCACAAAGTTTAAAACTAAAAGCCGTCGGATTGACTGCTCTGGGAATTCTAGTGCCTCGATTCATCGGTAGGTTATTACTAAAGACTAGAGACCTGAGCCATGGAGCTAACAGCGGCTAGTTTCTCACAGAGCCGTGACACAGGAATAATCAGAAAGTGTTTGGCAGAGCGCTCCTGAATGATGCACCGGGAACGACACGAACGTCTGATTGTGGCTATCGTCATTAAATGGATTGAAAAGCCATCATGACACCATCAGAACCATGACTCATGCCAGTCCGCTCTCTGTGATCTCTGACCCTCAGTGACTCCGGACAAAATGCTGTTAGTGTCACTGTAGCGGCAAAGTCACAACAGTCGTTATCGCAGAGGACTTTACGGAGCGGTTGATCACACACATTTTACACACACATCCAAGAATAAAAAAAAAATACATAAAGCCGTTGGTCCATAAGAGGCGGATGACCAATGTCCATAAATGTTGATAAAGTCCATAAATGTCACCTCTGTCCTTTGTCCCTCCTGCATCTGCAAGAAACGAGAATAGAGACTGATGTTCGGGTCGCGAGCTCTTTCTATAAGGAAACGGTAAAAACTGAAACAATGAGTTCATCTGAATAGTTCTCATATACAGTAAATCATTGCTTCACTAAATGACGGTGGGCGGAGAGAGTCAAAACAGTTTTGTTTTGACTCTATAAAAAATCAGCACCATTCTGGATCCACACTGGATCTTGGTCAGTCTGCTTTCTCCATAAAAACGGCCAAACTGTGGAACTCGCTGCCCACTGACCTAAAAAACATATTAGAATTCAAGGAGTTCACCTCAAAGCTCAAGCTGTGGCTGAAAACAAACCAATCATGCACCCATTTCTAAACCTGTAAACAGTATTTTGTGTGTGTGTGTGAGTGATCTCGTTTGTGAATATTTTGTCCATATGGCTGTTATTGGTGGGGGGAATGTCTTAATGTTAGATCACTGTTGTAAATATGTGTTTTAGGGCTTGGCCTATTTTATTCATTCTGTATAATGTGTGGCACTGTAGGGAAAAGCTCAACCAGGGACAGGAGTTGAAAATTAGCATTAGCTATACACTCCGTATGTGTCGCATCAGCTGCATTTTCATAATGTAACTATGTATGACTACATTGTCCCTGTCAAATAAATGAATAAAAAATAAAATAAAATAAATATACCCCATACAGCATGATTTTGAACTATTACTATCAACTTGCAGAATTGATGATAACGTTTAGTGCTAATTCCCCCAAGAAAAGAACCATATCATTAATTTTATTCTAAAATTGGAACCCAATATTTGATTATAGATTGTATAGGATTTGCCAATATAAACCACTGGCCTAATGTTGATGTCTTTTCAGTCCAGACGTAGAGAAACTGAACTAAGTTATGTGCTTCTTTTGCATCAGACAAATGTGAGATAGCGATGTTATCACCATCTGAGGAAGACAAAGTTTGCCGTCGAAACAGGTCAAGGTAATAACATCCCTATCTCACATCTGTCTGAAGAACCACATAACTCAATCTACTCAGAAGACAAAATCTACCGAAAAAAAATCCTCAAATCAATTTAAATGAAAGTAATCTCTTTGTCTAAACAGCGTCATCATTTTAAACAGATGTAAGGATGAGCTTCAAACACTTAAATGTTTTTAAAGATCGTATTGTCTCCCATAGAGTGTCTCTTGGGAAATTTTCATCATTTGAGTATGTTTCTTTTAAAATAGAACAAAAGAAATCTTCTTCCATTCTTATTATTGTTGTGTACAAGCCGCCACAGTCATGCCATAGTTTCACTGATCATTTCACTGAGTTGCTTTCAGTTGTGTGCACAGATTTTGATGGTTTGGTCATTGTAGGTGATTTCAATATACATGTAGATAATGCTAATGATAGATATGCAATAGAGCTGAGCTCTGTGCTGGAAACCTTTGGTCTCACTCAGCATGTGAGTGGCCCCACCCACAGCAGAGGACACACTCTCGATCTGTTAATTACCAAGGGGGTTAATATTTCAAATGTAAATGTGGTCAATGTTGCTCTGTCTGATCATTTCTGTGTATTTTTTGACATGTGTCTTGATTGTAAACCACCAGCTGAATCTTCGGTTGTTAGAAGAAGACACATAAATGATAATACAGGCGAACTGTTCATGGGGAGGGTAAACTTTGAGAACACGTTGTGTGTTACTGTAGATGAATTACTTGATTCTGTCACCACCACTGTTTTGAATGTTCTGGATACAATTGCTCCTGTAAAGGTTAAAATAGTTACAAACAAGCAAAAAGCGCCATGGACTAAAGCAGACTCGGTCAGGGCACAGAAGAGAGAGTGCCGGAAGGCCGAGCGGAAGTGGCGAAAGTCAAATCTCAAAGTTGACCATGAGATCTTCAAAGATGCGTTGTGCAATTTTAACAGGGAACTACGTAGAAACGAGGGAAATGTACTTTTCTGAAACTATTGAAGGCTGTAGCAACAATCTACGTGTTCTGTTTTCAACAGTAAATAGATTGACGAATCCCCCTGTTAAGATGCCATCAGAACTTACTTCCAAATCTAAATGTAATGAGTTTGCTCAGTTCTTTAATGACAAAGTCCAAGGTATCAAAAACGCCATCACCTCCACGATAGAAATAATAATCCAACCGCCAGTGAGGCTTTTTGGGCTGACGCACTTTACACCAGTACAAATCGAAACTGTCCAGGAGATAATCACTAGTCTGAGTTCCTCCACATGCAGCCTGGATGTATTACCTCCTAGATTTCTCAAGTCAGTTCTGAGCAGTCTTTTACCTTCACTTACACAAATAGTTAATATGTCTCTTGAATCTGGAACATTCCCAATGGCCTTGAAAACGGCGGTCATCAGGCCCCTCCTAAAAAAGAGGAGTCTGGAAGCCCTGGCACTCAAAAATTATCGGCCCATTTCAAATCTGCCTTTCATGGGAAAAATTCTAGAAAAAGTTGCCTATAAACAACTTACAGAATTTTTAATAATCAATAACGCTTATGATATGTTCCAGTCAGGGTTTAGACCCCACCACAGCACTGAGACCGCGCTAATAAAGGTAACAAATGACATCAAACTAAACACTGACGCAGGAAAAGTCTCAGTCCTTTTTCTGTTAGATTTAAGTGCTGCTTTTGACACTATTGATCATGGCATCCTCATTCAGAGACTTGAGGACTGGGTTGGTGTTGCTGGCACCGCCCTAAGCTGGTTTAGGTCCTATTTACAAGACAGAAAGTTTTTTGTGGAGATCGAAAACTGTACCTCAGACCACTTGGCCCTGGCCTGCGGAGTGCCACAGGGGTCAATCCTGGGTCCTCTTCTGTTTAATATTTACATGTTGCCTCTAGGTCAGTTGATTCACAGTAATAATGTCTCTTATCACAATTACGCTGACGATACTCAGGTCTATGTGTCCCTGACAGCAGGAGAGCATGAACCAGTGGACTCGCTCCTTCACTGTGTCCAGCAAATCGGTGATTGGATGCAAAATAACTTTCTCCAACTAAACACCGACAAAACTGAAATAATTGTTTTCGGACCCCAGAAACAAAGAGAGAGCGTTATTTGTCACCTCCAGGCTCTCTCTCTACAACCCTCAAATCAGGTCAGAAATCTAG